TGCCTCGCCTAAATAAATAAATAAATAAATAAATAAATAAATCACACTTAGTTGCTTGTGACCTGAAGCCAGTCTTTTCACTACCTGGAGCCCCATCTGAAAAAATGGATTTATAGGGTTACCATGGTGATCAGTAATCATAATGGCTAACATGGATTGAGTCTTGCTCTGTGCCAGACACTGTGCTGACTGCTTTATACACATTGTCTCTGTAGTTTCTTGCAAAGCTCTATCAGGCTAGGCTGGCATTATCCCTCTGTTACAACAGGGCATTTAAGGATAAGAGAGAGGATGTCACTTGGCCAAAATCACAGAGCTAGTAAATGGCAAATCCAGAATTCAGTGCAGGCATTTTGGCTCTAGGCTCTTAATCTCACTTGGCTGGTCATGGCTAATAACTAACACTCATTGGGCTCTTAATACGTAGTAGGCACCACTGTAAGCATTTCACTTAGATTCAGGCATTTAGTGATTATAGCCATACTATACAGTAGTCACTTAAATGAAAGACGGTACAGAGAGGTATACTAACTTGTCCTAAACCTACTGCCAGGAATCCAGTCCAGGTAGGCTGACTTGAGAGCCAGCACTCTTTTTTAAAGAATAAACAAACAAAAAGCTTTTTCTTAAAAAAAATTAGAGTGTAACATACAGAGAAGAAATATTTAGCTGCTCAATGAATTTTCACATACTGAATACATTATGTAACTAAATAATAAACTCTACCTGTACCCCAGAAGACCCCTTCCAGTAACTACTCCTACCCTTCTCCCCAAAAGTAACTTCTATCCTGATTTCTAAAACATAGATTAGTTTTTGCCTGTTTTTCAATTTTATATCAATAGAATCATACAGCAGTAATCTGTTCAATATGTGATTCATCTATGTTGCTGGATGTAGCAATAGTTTATACAACTATAGATTTATTTATTCTACTAGTAATCCCAATGTTTCGCTGAATAATGCTGCTATGAACACTCTTATACATGTTTTTGGAATACTCACACTCACATTTCTGTTGGGTGTATATCTGGAGGTGAATGATGTTGGGCCCAGAGCCCACAGCTCACTGGTGATGCTCTGGCAGCATAGGCAGCATCGCACAGGGTGCTATGTCCATAGCAGACAGTAAATATATTTGGCTTAAGTCTTGGCTCAATTACTTACCAGCTGTGTTACCTTGAATGAGCCTCATCACCTCTCTGGGTGATAACAGAGCTTTCACAGGGCCCAACATCGTTCACTTGGCTGTCTCCTCCTCCTTGTTGCCGCCTCTCCTTTGGGCAATGAGAAAGAGATTCTGTTGGTGCCAATCAGCCTGGGAACAGTGCCAACTCTGGAAGGTTGGGAGCCATGCCATTATTGGGCCTAGGACCATGGCGAAGGACTCCAGAGGTTCTAAATTCCTAAACTGCCTGAGCTGGAAGGGGCTTCACAATTCAGTGAGTTCCCCTCTCCCATTTTACAAATGGTAAAACTGAAGCTGAGGTAGGGGAAGTGGCCACAAAGCTGGAAAGAAGCAGAGATGGATGGACTGGAGATTTGAAACTGGATCCTGGCCAGCCCAACTGCAGATGGACTCTCTTCTCCACACTCCTTTCCCTGCCAGGGTGTTCACTTCTGGAGCTGCACATCCTAAGGGAGGGACTCAGGCTCCGTTCTCTGGACCAGACCGCTGTATTGTGGGGTCTCTATGGAGATCCTTATTCTCTTTATCTGGTCTCTTCAAGTGTGGGGCCCTGCTGGGCAAGGAAGAAGTCATACTGCTGTGCCATTGCTCAGCTCATACACCTGGGATGATCGTGGAGGATGCTGTACATGGGGCCTGGACACCAGCTGACATGGAGAGAAGCTGAGCTCCCTACTCAATGGACAGTCCAGGGAAGCCAGGAAGGGGCTGGGAAGCCAAAGATATGGGGAGGTCTGGGGCCCAGTCCCACGTCAATGCAATATCTGCTCTGATCCCCTGCACCCAGCTTGCACTCTGTACCACAGTCTTTTGTCCTTGGCATTTGTCTAGAATGCTTATGACTGCTGTTTCAGTAGGCAAGAAAACATAGGGGTTAATCATACTGACTCTGGAGCCAGACTGCCTAGGTTCACATCTCTGTTCTTCCACTTACTTGCTGTGTGACCTCGAGTAAGTTACATACCCTTCTGTGCCTCAATTTCCCTATCTTAAAAAGGGGATAATGATAGCACCTACTTCATGAGGTTGTTGTGAAGTGCATATGAGTGAAGCACTTAGAACCATGTCCAGCATTTGCAACTTGAACCGAGGTCCTCTGACTCCA